CACGAGTGCATCAAAAGTAGTATCATACCAACCACGGGGTAGTTTTTTCATCAATAATCATCTTTGAGTTCATTCAACAAAGGTAAAACCATTAATTGCATGAGAACTTGATGTTCCACCCCCTTTTTACTAACAACTCATCGAAGGCATCACATACGTCAATGCTTGGCTGGTGGATGGTGAACAAAGCTATTCTCTTTCTAGACAAAACTGCCATGTTATCAAATTTTGATATTGGCTAATCCATGAATATAAATGGACATCAAAAACAATCCTACAATTTTTTCTCTAAATGAGCTATAGTCAACGAACTTCATCACTTCTATTGTAAACAACTTGTAAGACCATTTCCATTTTGACATCTCTCAAATGATTTAAACCCCATCAATGTCACGTGACCAAGAACCCCAACATACCATGACTCCAAATGAACCCGACATTTTTCTTTCTTTAAGTTTGGCAACTTAGATAAGGTTCTCAATTCATCAATCTTCAAGTGTAGAAGTTTATAAGGGCGAGGTCTCAGATACATATAGGCATCAACTAAAAGAGGTATACCATTCTTGTGAACATAAACCAACTCATTCCAAACCATCTATCCCCGAGAATAAGGGTTTTAACCTAGGATCTCCAAACCAAACATTTTTCATGGTCGTTTCACAAATATAACTTCACATTTCTCCAGTAGAGTTGCAACAAGTTACGCGCTGTTTGTGTATTGCCAACCATCATCTTCCATTTCCCTTTAGAACTCCCCTTGTTCACAAAATCGCTAAAAACAATTTCTCCTAAAATTTATCCTACAGCCTAGATAAGAAAGCTTCCGTAATCTAGATAGAGGTAAGATCCTTCAATGTGAAAGTGTTTATGTCGACTGTAAGTCTAAATAGGTTAAATGCCAATCAGGTTATACAAATTCGTAGGCCTAATCGAGCTCTCTCACCAAATATTTGTGGCTACATATCATAGAAAATTGGAAGCACATCATTACTTATTTCTTTAATGCAATGTGGCATGGGAATTCTAAACATACTTGTTTGATATGTGAACACAATTGTATAATGCATTTGGATTCAATTGGAATACATCTCCTTCTCTTAAGTGTTTTAAGAATGCCTATATTTCTTATGTAGGGGGAAGAAAAGCTTCAAGACCTCTTTTTAGGTGTGTATTTTGCAAGACTATGGACAATGCAGTTCGAAAAATCAAATCGAGCCCTTCCAATCCAATGTTTGTGAGAGAAAACAACGTTTTTGGCTTTTGTATGGGCTAAAGCACATGGACATTTCCTTGACATTCGCTATCCGTCCTATATATGAATTGGAGAGTGATAGTATTCCAATTTTGGGGAGGTAGATTGTCACTTGAATATGCAATTGATTTTTGTTACTAGCCCTCCTTTGTCAGGAAATCTAGATTTTCACATGAACATGTAATGGATTTTTGTTTTGGGGCCCTCCTCTGTAAGGAACTCGAGGGGATACCCTATCCTCTGCTATTGACCATTTTCCTTTTTCTCTACCTTAATAATACTTCTTCTATCAAAAAGAAAATCTAGATGGAGGTAGAGGAGAGGATAGAAAGTGCAGAGTTAGACTTTTAATCATAGTTGAAAATATCAATCATTCTATTGAGTTTTTTGCTCCATTCTCCATCAGCTTTCTTGCAAAGCAATCTGCTGCTCATATTGAAAGGTACAAGAGAATTTTGCGAGTGATTTTCTGTTTTTTTGGTAGAATGGGAAACGCTTGGTCCTAAATCTTGTGATTTTTTTCAAAGGTTGCCCTCTATATCCTGAAAGATCCCAGTGATCTTTTAAGCTTTTGTGGAAAAGAATTTCATTGACACCACAACATGAGTTCCACCCAAACATGAAAAGTTCATATCAAAGTTTTTAGACGATAACATTCCGTAAATCATCTTTGTTGAGGAGAGAAACCTGTAAATAAAATATGCACCTTTTATATATTTTGACATGCTCTCTTTTTCTAATATTGCTATTGTATGCAGACGGCAAGCCTTTGGTCTCACACCTATAATATTCTCCTTTTTCCTCAAAAACCTTGCAAGTAATTCTCAGCCATTCACGGAAACAATGGTATGTTTGTGCAACTGCATGCACCCTAAACTTAAAGTATAATTAGATGAGAACCAAAGAATCCAAATCAACCAATAAGCTAAACTACTCTAAAATTAGTAACTACATTTTGCCCCTGAATTTGCTGTATGATACAGAAATCACTCCTTTTAAAATTGAACAAAAAGCACTCTATTTTACAAATCCTTATACGGTTAGTCCCTATCATTTATTTTATAAAAGAAAATTGACCAAAAAAATGTGCTTAAAATATATAAATTATATAATCAGTAGAACAAAATGCGACAAAAAACTGATATAAGCAAAAGAACAAATAAATAACGATGTCCTTTCTTTCCTTAATGATCAATCCTCTAAAATATTTAGGTGTTTTAAGTTATAGGTAGACGTATTTTGAATATTAATGTACATTATGAAATAATCTAAAAATTACAAGAATCTTTAACTGAATAGATAGCAGGGGCAAACTGTCTAATAGTCAGTATGGTAGGGTTTTTTCTTTTTCCAGTTTTAAAGATTTGGGTTGTTTTTATACAATAGGGCAGACCTCAAGGGAAAAATGTAACCTCCCCTTAAAAATCACATGAGAGTCATGTCAAGTATACAGGCCAAGCAATAAAGATATCATTGTGACTACTGAACAAATGGCAAAAAAAATGAACAAAGGCAAATAACAAATTATTATTGAATCAAAAGTCGTGTAATTACACTAAAGCAATTTAGATAATGACAAAGAGTGTCAATTTGTGGGCCTTTAGTGCAGGGTTCTATCCCTGGGTTTAAAATGCTTTGTAGGGTTCACGAAAAAGTAGAGGAATTACAATTTTTGAACCAATATGAGAAATCTCATAGAAAAATTGGGGCCTACAGATAATGCATTCATCATGAATCCAAAGAGTCACTGAATAAAACTTACCCATCGCTTCATGATGCTCGATAACATGGTGGGATAAACGTTCTGCTACTCCATCCAGTTGTGCCAACCTTAGAGCAGCCTACATATTAGATGATTGTGTTGTTCTATAGGTTAACAATTTCAAGAAACTAAAGGAAAGAAGAAAAAATCCATAAGAACCACCAGACACCTAAGGTGCAGTTTCGTCTTCTGCTTCAGAAACTTATTCCCACAAAAAAAAGGTCAAGTTACTCATCCCTCATCAAAAAAATAAGTCCTTCAATTCCGAATTAAACAGCATTTTTATATCATTTATGTCCCCAAAGTGGGTAGTTAATTGGGACTGAGTCAATGACTATTGTGCACTTCATGCTAGGCAAGTATTTTACAAACCAAGCATCAATATTGATAACCAATCCATCAACTGACACTTTCAAGGTCTTAATACAAAGTTTCCAGTTGTTCAGTATCAGAAATAATAATTCACAAAATCACCATTTCTCTCACATCATTTTACTTTGTTCAAACACCAACATAATAAATCCCACTAGAATCTCGCATGGAACATGACTGACCTTTTTAAATTCATTAAAACATTTAGTTTCCAACCAAAAATACTATTCCATTCCAAAGTAGAAGAGATATATAGAAGAAGAGGAAGAATATGATTAGCCCATCTACATTGACTCAAAAATATTATTCCATATATACAAGAACCAGAATATCACAGAAAAAATTCAAATATTTAGTTTCCTAACACCATCCCAATGAGTAAGTAAAATAGAAATACATAGAATAACAGAAAGAATGTGTTTAGTCTATTTATATTCACTCAAAAATATCATTCCATCACATGCAGGAAGTAGAATATAACAGACATAGAGAAGAAGAAAAGAATACTTTCAAGATAAATTGAAATATGATCTATTTAGGAATATATATGTGTATATATATATATAGGTAAATTGAAATTATACCTGCTTCTCAAAATATGTCAGCTCACTTTCATCATGTGGAATATGCTCTAATACATGCCTAATTGGATCAAAATCCTGCATAAACAGATTCACAACCCTTGTTAGTACAATTATTCAAATTTCAAGTCCCCAGGTTCCAAAGATAAATGGAGAAGGTGCATATCATACATTACATGTCTGCCCTTACTCATGGAGCACCTAAAACTTTTTCTAGAGGTCAGGGAAAAACAGAGACAAGGAGATCCTCTATCTTTGTTCTTGTTTATATTGATGTTTTAAGTCATATGCTTCCTGGGGATGTTGATAGGGGCTTTGCGATTTATTTATGGTGTAGGATGCTGTGGAAGTTTCCCATGCAGAGTTCACAGATGACACCTTCCTTTTGATACCTTTGGATTAGAATCTCTTTCTCAATGCAATCTCCCTTTTACTAGTCTTTGAGGTTTAAGGATTATGTGTTAGTTTAAATAAGTAGACTGGATGAGCTAATGTTGAGTGTCACTTCATTGGCAGTCTTGCTGAGATTATCGGGCACACTATTTTTCAATGGCCTATCACCTATTTAGAGGTACCTCTAGGGAGCAGTCCATGTGCTAGTTCTATTTGGGCTAGTCCTGGGGAAGATCACCAAGAGTCTCAAAAAGTGCTAAGGTTTTTTTTTACAGGAAAGGTCACTGTCTTTTAAGTTTTCCTTTCAAGTATCCCTTTGGAACTTTGCATGATTGTTTTAAATCCTGATTTATATAACCAAAACCTTTGCATGTTTGTTTAAATCCTAGTTTATATAGCTAAATCCAATGGCCAACACTTTCAAGTACCTATTTGTGATTATGTTTCTTTACAATAAATTTCTTGTGGTCCGGGGTAGGAGGGAGTTTAAGAGACCAAGTGCTTAGATGGGATGTCTGTTGCAAGCCCAAGAGAGATGATAGCAAAAGTTTTGGTTGGAATCTTGCATCCAAGAACTTGCTCTTGTGGCTAAGTGGTTATAGAGATTTCTTTTAGAGTCTTTTTCATTGTGGCACATTACAGGGTGGTGACGAGTAAGTTTAGTTTGTTCTAGAAATGCTGGAAAGTAAGGAGAATTCTTCAATCACTTATAGAAGCCACTGGAAATTTGTCTTGGGTATCTAGTCTTTTTCTCCTTTACTTTGCAGTAAGTGGGCAATAATTTCCGTTTTTTCTTCTAG